AGAGCCACTGAGAAGACTACGATGAATGAAGACTCCAGGCTCAATGATTGAGACATGATGCAAGAACTCCAGGCTGCATGATGAAGCACCGCGAGGTCAGGCTCATGATGAAGACTGCATTCGATGAAAGACAATGATGAAGACCTCAGACGCTCATGATGAAGACTCCAGGCTCATGATGAAGAAATGATCGAAACGACTCAGGGCTCATGATGAAGACCCAGGGCTCGATGATGAAGGCTCAGCTCCATGATGAAGGACTCAGGCTCATGATGAAGGGCTCAAAGTGATGAAGACCTCCAGGCTGGCATCGATGAAGGCTCATGATGAAGACTCCAGGGCTCATGAATGAAGACCGCGCGCGCGCGGGCGCGAGCCTCATGATGAAGACTCATGATGAAAGGCTGCAGGCTGCATGATGAAGACTCCAGGCTCCATGATTGAAGTACTACATGAGATGAAGGGACTCAGGCTCATGATGAAGCTGCAGTGCTCATGATGAAGAGCTCATGATGAAAGGCTCAGGCCCTCATGATGAGACTCTCAGGGCTCATGATGCAAGACTCATGATGAAGGGCCAGGCGCTCATGGATGAAGACTCAGGGCTGCATGATGAAGACTCATGATGAAGACATGACTGAAGACTCAGGCTCATGATGGAAGACTCCAGCCTCATGATGAAGACTCATGATGAAGAACAGTGATGAAGATCAGGCCTCATGATGAAGGATCCAGGCTCACAATGAAGACGCATGATGAAGACTCAGGCCTCATGGATGAAAGACTCAGGCTCATGATGAAGGACTCATGATGAAGAACATGATGAACGACCTCAGGCTCATGATGAAGGGCTAGGCTCATGATGAAGGCTCGTATGAAGACTCAGGCCCTGCATGATGAAGGCTCATGATGAAGAACTCAGGCCTCATGATGAAGACTCAGGCTCATGATGAAGACTCCATGATGAAGGTCCTCAGGAGTTTCATGATGAAGACTGACAGGCTCATGATGAAGACTCAGGCTCCATGAATGAAGACTCAGGCTCATGATGAAGGCACTGCCAGGCTCATGATGAAGACATGATGAAGCAGCTCAGGCCTCATGAATGAAGACTCA